CGGCGCGTGTATATGTGATCAAGTGAAATAGGAGAGACAAAAGAGGAAGGCAACAGAACGGAGCCGCCCCAGCACACCGGCAGAAGAGGGATTTAAGAACGGCGCGACCGCACGCGGTGGCGGTGAGCATCGCCCAGGCCGCAGAGAAAAGCAGTCAAGGAAGAGATGTGACGCTGCCTCCCGCAAAGCCCTCACAATATAAAAAAAAGAATCACTTCTGCAGGTGTTGCTCCTTTACCTCACGTGTCCGGCAGCCCAAGAGGACTGTGAGAGTGTATGTATTTTAATACCCGCACGAATAAAAAGAAAACATCGCCCAGGTCGCACAAGCCCACACACATCCTTCGCACATTTCATGCGGCGTTCGGCCTTCACCTCAGCCGGGTAGTTGAGTCAAATCCGTGCGGCGCACAGCAATGCGGTCGGCACCGTGTGTGCGTTTGTGTGGCGGCAGCAGCAAAGAAGAAGGGGATAAAAGGGTGCGCCGCCCACTGGAACTTGCATGGGGTGGCAAAGCAAAGGAAAAAACATCCCTCAGAGCACAGAAGAGAGATAGAAGGATTGGCCCACAGGGGTGACAAGCAAAATGAGCACACAAAGAGTACGCATCGTCCCAGCCAGGGTGTGTGTGTGTGTGTGCGGTTGCTTCACCACCTACGCAGCAGTGCAGGCAAGGGCAGCCACGAGTAACAGCAGTGGGGCACGCAGAAACAGGATGGCGTCACCGCCGTCCGCATTGCTTTTTGTGTGGCCCCCATCACTGGGACTGCGGGTGGCCGTCGTTGTGGTAATGGCGGCTCCATCCGCCGCTTTGCCTGCCGCGGCTGTTGACTGAGCCGCAGTGCCAGCCAATGGTGTTGCAGTTGCCGGACGATTTTCTGTTGATGTCTCCTGTCTTCCGGCGGGAGCCTGACTGCTTCGCTCCCCAGCAGCAGCCGTGGAGCCTTCAGGCGTCGGCCCACTGGGGGCCGAATTGATCGTCGGTGATGCTGCCGCTTGTGGTGGCGATGAGTGCCCTTGTGAAGGCTGCAGCAGTGCAGCCTCTCTTGCAGTCGTGGTTTGCAACGCACAGTCGCCTGCCTGGTGAAGTGAAGCGTCAGTCCCAGTGACGGTGACGATTTGTCCCTTCGCCAGCGTGTGCAGTTCACTCTTGTCATCCGTCGCACAGTGCATCGTGAGCGCAACGTTCTGGGTGCCCCCCGCTGAAGCCGCGGCGCAGTTCGTCCTCGGGCCGGCGGAGAGGTACGCCGTTCCCGCCCAGGCGCAGATGAAGTCGCTGCCGCCGCTCTTTTGGCTGGGCTGACTGGCAGGCGCGGCTGTAATGGCCGTGGGAACCTCCACCGCTTCCGGGCACTCTTTCCAAGCGGACGTCGTCTCACCAGCCACACGCCAACTTATTTTTCTATCGGCGCTCGCGCACGACACCTCCACCGCCACAATCACCGGAGGCGCGGCAGCCGCCGCCACCGTTCCCGCCCCGCAGAGCAGCGCGAGGAGCGCCAGGGCGCACACCGCGCGGCGCCGCACCGTCAGCGTCATCGCCATCAGTAAAAACAGTGGCAGTAGAGTCGCTGGGGGCAGTGAACCAAATTCTTCAGGCCGCGGCGAAGAAAGCAAGAGAAAAATAGTGAACAAGAGGTAGAAAGAGAGCAGAGAGAAATAACACAAAGATGGCGGCCCACCGAGTTCACGCAGCCACGTACACAGGAGAAAGCCGCACACGTAACAGCCAGCACCAACTACGAAGGGACCAGCCACGTGCCCTGCAGTTTAGATTCACCGTGCGGTTGTGCGTGTGTGTGTGTCAGACAAAGCGCTAATAAGGAAGGAACGCAAAGCCTGCGGTAGGGCACGCACAGAGCAGCGATGCAAGAGTGAAAAAAGAAGGATTAGTGCCCGGGCCGGCACTGCAGCCCAGGCAGCGGCAACTCACTAAGCGAGTGGTAAAATGAAAAGCAAAAAAAAAGTGGAATTAATATATATATTTTTTTCTTCACGTATCCTAAAACCGAAAAAAAACAAACAATTACGGTGCGTAGACTTCGCCTGCAGGGAAAAAAAGGAGACACATTTATTTCGTCCCAATTCGTCCTTCCTCGTGTCCACGCACCATCGACGGGGCGTTGCGTTACTTTTCTCCGTCCCCTCACCGCAGCAGCAGCAGCACCAGCGCACAGAGTGCTGTTGCGTGCGTGTGTGTGGACGGGAAAGGGGAGGCGCACAGTCGTGGGATGCCCCCACCCCGTCACGGGAGGAGCGCGGCAGGCGACGAATGGGCGGAGTCGCGAAGCAAAAGCGGAGGTGGACCCACGGGGATTACCCCCGAAGCAAGAAGAAACAAAAAGCAAAAAAGAAAACGAAAAAGTAACTTGTCCTCCGCGAAGATAAATTTATTCCCGGCGATGTGTGTGTGTGTGTGTGGCTGTGCGGGAGACGGCGCACATGCCCCGCAGTGAAGCCGCACGCCCCTCACAGAACGGCGCAAAGGCCCACAGCCCCAGCAGAAGCAGCGGCGGCAGCACTCGGCGCTCTGCGTGGGCGCCGTCCTCGGCGTTGCGCTTCCGCAGCAGACGCCCACCGCCCCCGACGCTGTTGCTGCCGTTGTTGTCGGGCGCGGGGACGGATGCCGCATCCTTTGCTGCCGCGGCGTCTGCGGCGGCTCCGCCCCAACCTGCACTCTTAGCCTCCCGCTGCGAGGGTCCGTGTGACGTTGCCAGTGCGTTGCCGGGAGTAGGCGAGGACGCGGCTTCCAACTCACGCTGCGGCGCGGGCAAAGTGGCATCCATATCTTTACAGGAAACTCCGTCGCTTGGAGCAGAAACCTCCGGCTGTAGTGGCGTTGGTTCTTTCGGCGTTGCGGCGGGGACGGGTTTTCTTGTGAAGGGCACCGACCTCATCTGCATCCAGCGGGCGGTTGTACAGCAGGACGTTCGTCACAGACACACAGCTGTCTTCACTTACCGCGTCAGCTGCGCCGCCGCCGAGATCGCCGTTGCGGCAGCACCCGCAAGGTCATTGAGGTGCTTCGACGCAATCCCAACAAAACCGCCGTCCTCGTCACCTTGCTTCGTGCACTGAGCCTCGGCAACGGCAAACACATCCTTCCCCACTGCAACAAGGCTGGGGGCACGGAGGGAAGTGACAGGTTAAGCAGACTCCCCAACGCCTTCCCATGCAACATTATAAAACTTTGTCGTCCCTGCAAGTAGCCCCATGGCACCCCCTTGATTAGCGACTGAGTAGCCACGTTTGCCGCAGCGTATCAACAGCACGCCAAGAAGCAGCAGCACCGCAGAGGAAAACAGATGTCGGGGCATGTTGGGCCACTGCCCTCTCTTTCTCTCTCTCTTCCCTCATTGCGATGGATCCGCTCCGGCCGCAACAGTTGTGTGTTGCTGGCGGTTGTGGCAGCTGCAAAGTCTCCAAAGCGCACAATAGCGGCGGCAAGCAGCGTTTGGACTCTCTTTTCCTTCGGCGTATTTGAGTGCGTGGGTGAGACGCGGAAGAAGGGGGCAAAAGGAAAGCAAGCGACGATGCAAAGAAAAAAAGGCGCACTCGGGACGCACAAATGCCCTTCAACATCACAACACTCACGCCACAATTGGGTGCGGCCTTCAGACGGATAATAATAATAATAATAATAAAAGAGAGGGAGGCGCAAGTGCCCGGCCGCAGCGCCCCCAGGGGGGCTCCGCGCAAACAGCGGCGGCAGTCCGCAGTAAAGGCTGCAGCGACGAACGCGTGTGCCGCCCGACCGCACACTCGCCGCTCCAATAAAAACGCACACACACGCGAAGAGCACGCAGTTTGGGGCGCCGCCACGCAGAAATCAAAACGCACAAAAAACAAAACCCACAAACACAAGTCACGCGCCGCCTTCCTCCGCCCCCTTTTTTTTCAACCACCACCGGCCACTTCCCTCAGCACGCATGCCCGCAGGACCCTTCCGTCGCGCCCCCCCCACAAATCACCCAACGCCGGCCCCACTTCCCTCAGCGCAGTGCAGCAGGAGTGCAGCACGGTGTAAAAAAAAAAATACCAAAAATAAATCGTTAAAAGCAAAATGAAGCAGCGCAGTGGCACCACCGCCGCCCCAAACACAACCGCCCGCTCCCCAGCCCCACCGCGGTGCCCGTGGAAGGGAGGCGCCAAAAGAGAGGCCGAAGGGAAAACATAAAGCCATTTCACTCACTACGCATAGCAATTGCGTCTTCGTGCGATATTCGCATGTGACACTGGTGCAACTTGTTGTCCCAAAAGGTTCGGTGCCTTTCGTCTTCCGCATTGGCCCTGTCGCCCGAGTTTTCACACTCCCGCCGCGTGTGTATTGGGTTGCTCCCCACATACCGCACGCAAATCACATCCCCCGCGAACACTCATCGGCAATAGTCCCCCACCCATCAAAAAAAACACACCTCCATTTACTCACTGGGCCGCTGCTGCGCTGCGCTGGCGGTAATGTAATGCGCATCCGCCGCGGCAAACCGCAGCCCAACCAAATTCCCCTGCGGGGAATTCGCAGAAGAAAACAAAAACAAAGACGAACAAACGCCCAAAAGCAGAGCATTTTCGGCCGCCGGTCCCGTACAACTCCACGTACGTTACGTCGATTTTCCCTCCTCCCGGGCTTCCCAAGCAAGCGGCGGTACTTCAGTCTAGCTTGGGCCCCGCCGCGAGTGTCAAACAATCCGACTGTACCACCTGTGACAATCCGCCACCCGCGCTCCAAATCACAGTTAACACTGCAGTCAGGGCTATTTTTTTTTTACTTTGTTGTTAATTCAGGAACTGCAACCATCCCTCAACAAAGCTGAGCGCCATTGCTTTGGAACGTGGCCGACGGAATGGCTCTGTACTGTCAACCAATGTAACTTTTCTGCTATCCACCTTCAAGTCCTACGGCTGCAGTGTTCTGCCTTCCCTCATCACTACTCCCACGCCCTTGCTGTCGGGAATTCCCACTAGATAACACCAACTAGAAACATACACAACCTCCTAGCATCTCTCCAGCAGAGGCGGCACGACAATCACACTTCGTCTATGCATCCGAGAGCTGCGTCGAGTATTCCCCGTGTTAGCGGAGAAACCATGTCCTTCTTTTCAAAGTCCCGCCAATGCTTGAGAGAGGTCACAGCTTCGTTGTAAAGTCTCTCTTCGTCTTGCATGAGAATAGTGTTCTCTTCGAATAGGCACGCCATCCCTTTGTAAGATGGTAACGCTGTTATTGCGCCCAATAATTCTGCATCGTCGATAAACCTCTCAGGATTCACAACGAAATTCTTCATGAAGACATTTTTGTTGGCCTGCACAACGCCTCTGCCGCCCAATTCATTGCGAAGGAAATCATTCAGCTTCGCTCCACTAGCTTGAGAAGTTTCGCTCAAGAGTACCTCTTCCATAGTGCTGTAAGGGGTCCATTTTGGCCTTTTTCCCCTTTTGTCTGAGCTTCCGCTTTTTGTAGTTGACCTGTTCACGCGGTGCTCCGCAACATCCACGGCCGTGTCTAGCTTCCTCCTGGCGTAAGGCCCAATATTTGGCGCAGCTCCCTCGCAACAGTCCTTCCAATCGCTGAGATCGACGACGCCGATGTCATGCAGCTTGTAACAATCTTGAAGCAGTGTGTAAGCCTTGTATTCTTCTGAGTTGAAAATTCCACGGAGAAGCTCCCCGTCTTCAATGTACGCATCGGGCTGCTGAAAAAAAACTCAATCATAACATTGTGGTCTTCATCGATAACTGCCTCGCCGCCGAAATTTTTGCAAAGAAAATAATTTAGTTTTATGCCACTGGTACGAACTTCTCCCGCCATCAGTACAGTTTTCACCGTACTGTAAAGAGACCACTGCCTTTGCTGCCCCGCATCCACCCTTCGGCGCCGCGCTGCGGGCAGGCTCGCATTGCCGTCAGATCCGGAGACGGGCCTTGCCCTCCGCCGTTCCTGCGAAACACTCGATGTGCTACTCTCCTCGCTTGCTTCAGACATTTTTTCCTTGCTTGTTTTTCCCTTCGTCAGTTGTTGTTGGCTTGGGCTGCAGCCGAACACCAACCACCAGCCAAAAGAAGAATGAGATTGAAGAAGAAAAAAGACAGCCACACAGCCCCCACGCAGCCACATTCAGCAAAAGAGAGAGGGAAAGGAGAAAGGGCCACCGGACACGCGGTGCGGGGCACACTCTCACCCACACCGCCCACCGCACACACCGCCGGGGACAGGGCAGCCGCAATGCACGGGGCGGCCTCGCCACGCGCCCACGAAGACGTTTGCTCCTCCCCCTGCAGGAGTGTGAGTGCGTTTGCGAGGGCGTGGGGCAACAGGGAGACAACAGCGGCAGCCGGCAGTCCGCCAAACACCGCCGCCCCTCATCGCGACACAAGAACACAGTACAACAACGAGGCAGGAGTCAGCTCCCCAACGCCAACGCACAGCAGGAGCCGAGGCGGAGCCCCTTCCCTCTCGAGTGCGTTTGCCGGCCCCTTGCAGCTCGGCATCATCGGAGTGACCGGCAGAAGCCACAACTAGGAAGCGTTCGTTCACCACCACAACGTACGGTGGCATGCGCAGTCGCAGAGTACTGTTCCGACGCGGGAATCACGCGGCAGCGAAACGCCCGTCGAAGAAGATACACTTGAACAGCATTTAAATTCCACCGCCGTAGGATTCCGCACGCACGGCCTCTGCGTACCAACGCACACCAAAGAGACCGAATAGCAGCACCCATCCCTTCTCATACAAGCCACGCAGTGACTGTGGCGGCCTCAACGCCAATGCCCTCACCTCGTCCCGCCGCATATCCGCGGCAACAGAGCTCGCATGTCGTGTTCACTGCGCAAGGGCCTGTTTTTTTTTCAAGCGGAAATCAGGTTACCAGGGCGCTGCATCATTGGCAAAGTTGATTAGTGGTCTCATGATCTTTTTTTTTGCCGTCAGCTTGCTCCCTCACAGTAAGAAGAAGGTGGCTTTCTCGACAGATATCCCCCTTGTATCGCGTCTTCCTTACGCTGCAAATAAAAAAAAGAAAGTGGCACCCCGCAGCTGATTTTGCCTCGCCTGAACAAGGCTTCTTGACAAGATTACGGAACCTACTTTGGTGGTGTTGGTGGTGCAGAGGCTGGAGGGAATCTCACGCACACTCCCACACACACGCAGCTGTCGCTGTTAGTTCCACACCAACTCTTCGGGCTTTATGGGCCTGGCAAGGGGGACAACGCTGCTCCTCCCTCGCTCCCTGTCACGCGGCATGGCCTTGCGCATGTCTAGAGCATCTTCGTCATCCTTAAACGTCCCTTTGGGGCCATCACCTCGGTAGTAGCCAAGCACGCGCCGGTAGACAACGTAGCCAAGTTTCTGGTACATCGCCTGCGCGACCTTATTGCTTTGCCGCACAAGCAAGTCCACAAAGTACGCGTTGTGAAGGCAGGACGTTGTGGTCTCGAGCTCCCTCATGAGTGCCTCTCCCAAACCAAGGCGACGAAACGTTGGCGCGACTGTGACTGCGGACACGTGCCCGTGGAAATCCTCGCCTCTTCCCTCGGCCTTGCCGAGTGTGTACGCCATGC